TACGAGAAAAAAAAAAAATATATATATATATATATATATATATATATATATATATATATATATATATATATAGATATATGTATATCTATGCACAATATATACATGTCAAAGGCAGAAAATTGGCTAACCTTCAAGAAAGCAACAGATCCTTCAGAGCCACGTGAGGAAGTGAAACTGAGACAATGGGTGCGCGAGATTAACAAGAAAATAAACCAAACGTGAACATTAAACAAAGAACTATAAGTGTGTGTGTGTATACGTTCATGTGTATCTACTTAACTATGTGTAGAGAGAGAAAAAGCGAAGAAGCCGTACCTGGTCTAGGAGAGCTGGGTCTTCATGGCGTTACCGAGGTTAAATTCGTAGAGAAGAACCCAAATAGAGGAAAAATGAAGGACTTTCTTTCGCTAGTCGCTGCGTAGAGAGAGAGAGAGAGAGAGAGAGAGAAAAGCCGAATAAATATACGAGTTTGAGAGAGAGAGAGACAGAGAGAGAGAGACACAGAGGGAGGGGTCTGGTCTGGTTAAAGGGCGAATTTGATATCTGTACGCGCAGTGAAGGCACGTAACAGTACTCCGCTCTTGACAAAATGCCACGTCGATTTTCGATACCTTTTACGATATGGCAAGGAGTCAATCCAGTGTGCGCCGGTTAACGGAACTAAAGAATAAAATCTAGCTAGATCATGCCACGTCAATCGAATTGTAAGTAGAGAAATTTTGATCAAATGAAATTACTTCTTTGCCCTCGGTCCCTATTTTTATAATTGGACTGGCACTTCTTGATTGGATTTAGAAAGATATAGTTGGCAATGTCGCATTGATGATATATCTGCAACGGTCTGGCTAGGGTGTCATACTAAAATGCCCAAACTAGCCCTCTCTGTTTTTTTTTTCGTCAGGCATTTTCCTCTTATAAAGTAGAGGTTCGGATGTTCATGAATTCGAAACAATTAATATCAGAGCTAATATTCACGTTGAATATAAGATCAAACGCAGTATACATTACGATTTTTTGTAATCGAGCCAAAAAGATCGACTTTGAGGCTGGATTAAGATGATTTGATATTATATATAAATATAGTGTTATTCCATTAAATATTAATAAATGAGTAAAATCATCAAAGAAAAATGACTATCGCCGAATTCATGTCGATAGAACGTCAACTACGAAAATATTGTAGAATGTTATGATCCTACATCGATTAAAAATAAGATAAATCCCTGATAGTCAGACCTCAATGAATTGCTAAAATTCGAATTTAGAACATCAGAATTTACAGCTCGTCCCTGTTACCACTTGAACTATCTTTGAAATTGACAAACCCTCTAATTACAGATAAAATGAAATAATTGAAGTAAATATTAACATAATATGTACTCGATATGATCGCTTATTAATCTTACAATTCTAAATATATTGGGCCGAATTCACTTTATACATAAATAAGTTATTGTCTGTGCCTGAAAGCATAGAGTATAAAAAATAATAAACAATAAATATATTTGTATTTATATCCAAAATCAAATCACAAATATAGAGAAAGAGATAAAGAAAATTAAGCNCTTAACTATGTGTAGAGAGAGAAAAAGCGAAGAAGCCGTACCTGGTCTAGGAGAGCTGGGTCTTCATGGCGTTACCGAGGTTAAATTCGTAGAGAAGAACCCAAATAGAGGAAAAATGAAGGACTTTCTTTCGCTAGTCGCTGCGTAGAGAGAGAGAGAGAGAGAGAGAGAGAGAGAAAAGCCGAATAAATATACGAGTTTGAGAGAGAGAGAGACAGAGAGAGAGAGACAGAGGGAGGGGTCTGGTCTGGTTAAAGGGCGAATTTGATATCTGTACGCGCAGTGAAGGCACGTAACAGTACTCCGCTCTTGACAAAATGCCACGTCGATTTTCGATACCTTTTACGATATGGCAAGGAGTCAATCCAGTGTGCGCCGGTTAACGGAACTAAAGAATAAAATCTAGCTAGATCATGCCACGTCAATCGAATTGTAAGTAGAGAAATTTTGATCAAATGAAATTACTTCTTTGCCCTCGGTCCCTATTTTTATAATTGGACTGGCACTTCTTGATTGGATTTAGAAAGATATAGTTGGCAATGTCGCATTGATGATATATCTGCAACGGTCTGGCTAGGGTGTCATACTAAAATGCCCAAACTAGCCCTCTCTGTTTTTTTTTTCGTCAGGCATTTTCCTCTTATAAAGTAGAGGTTCGGATGTTCATGAATTCGAAACAATTAATATCAGAGCTAATATTCACGTTGAATATAAGATCAAACGCAGTATACATTACGATTTTTTGTAATCGAGCCAAAAAGATCGACTTTGAGGCTGGATTAAGATGATTTGGTATTATATATGAATATAGTGTTATTTTATTAAATATTAATAAATGAGTAAAATCATCAAAGAAAAATGACTATCGTCGAATTCATGTCGATAGAACGTCAACTACGAAAATATGGTGAAATGTTATAATCCTACATCGATTAAAAATAAGATAAATTCCTGATAGTCAGACCTCAATGAATTGCTAAAATTCGAATTTAAAACATCAGAATTTATAGCTCGTCCCTGTTACTACTTGAACTATCTTTGAAATTGACAAACCCTCTAATTACAGATAAAATGAAATAATTGAAGTAAATATTAACATAATATGTACTCGATATGATCGCTTATTAATCTTACAATTCTAAATATATTGGGCCGAATTCACTTTATACATAAATAAGTTATTGTCTGTGCCTGAAGGCATAGAGTATAAAAAATAATAAACAATAAATATATTTGTATTTATATCCAAAATCAAATCACAAATATAGAGAAAGAGATAAAGAAAATTAAGCATCGATTTATAGTGGGGGTGAGAGGTGGTGGGTGGTAAGACACGGTGATAGTTGTGGTGGGTAGCAATGACCGTGGTGGTGGTGGTGGCGGTGGCGTCGACGGCAACGGTGATGGTGGTGGTGGCGAAAGCGATGACGACGACGGTGGTGGTGGCGAAAGCGACGGTGGTGATGGCGGCAGCAATGGTGATGGTGGCGATGGCCACAGGGGTGGGGCCGGTGGTGGTGGTAGTGGTGGCGACGACGGCGGTGGTAGAGGCAGTGGTGGGACGGTTTTAAATATATATATATAAATATTTATGAGAAATAATTTTTAGAAGTATATTAAAAAAGTCACTTCAAACACACCNGGGACGGTTTTAAATATATATATATATTTAAATATTTATGAGAAATAATTTTTAGAAGTATATTTAAAAAGTCACTCCAAACACACCCTTAGGGACCTATTTTTTTTTATTAAATTTAGGGTGTTAATATTAGCCGTTAGATTAACTTTAAAATAAATTTAAATCGATCTCAACCACGAATATGAAAAGTCATTTTGTTTATCTTTTGAAATTTGAATTGTAAGCTACTTTATTATATAGACTAGTTATTATCTGTACCTAAAGACACAGTGTAATAAAAAATGGTAAACAATAAACATATTTGTATTCATATTCAAAATCAAATCAGAAACATAGAGAAGAAATAAAAAAATTTTAAGTATCGGTTTGTAGTGGGGTAAGTGGTGGTGGGCGGCAGTGGTGGTGATAGGAGACGGTAATGGTTGTGGCGGGTGGCAATGACTGTGGTGGCAGCAGTAGTAGTGGTGGTGGTGGTGATAGCGACGAGGGCGACGATAATGGTGGTGGCGGCGACAACGTCGGTGGTAGTGGTGGCAGCGATGGTGATGATAGCGAGGCGGTGGTGGTGATAGCGGCAAAGGAGAAGACAGCGACGATGGTGGTGGCGGCGGTAGTAGTGTTGGTGGTGGCGGTGACAGTGGTGGTGGTGGCGGCGGCGGCGACGACAGTGGCTGCGGCGAAGGTGGCGGCAGTGGTGAGGGTGGTGGCAGCAGCGACGGTTGGGGTGGTGGCGATGGCAACGGTGGCGGTGGCGGTGGCGGTGGCGACGACGGCAATTGTGTATGTGGGGGTGGGGGTGTGGTGGTGGTAAAGATGGTGGTGGTAGATGTAGTGGTGGAGCGATTTCAAAACACTATTATTTTTTTTTAAATAGTTTTGAGAAATAATTTTATAAGTACTTTTAAAAAATCACTCTAAACACACCCTTAGAGACCTATTTTTCCTATTAAATTTAGGGTGTTAATATTAGTCGTTAGATTAATTTTAAAGTAAAATTTAAAGCGATCTCCACCGCGAATAGTAAAAATCATTTTGTTTATCTTTTAAGATTTGAATTATAAACTATTTTATTATATAGATAGTAAAATATCACAAATTTGATAATTTGTCTAAGCAAGGTTTTTTTTTTAATCAAATACTCTTATAAAGAGAAGACGATAAGGTTTAAATCCATAACCTTAACGAACACGGGCAGACGGCCGCTAATCATGCTCCTTGAAAAGTTCTAATTTAATACTCGTCTTGAAGTTTGATATCTAATTATTCAAACTTTTCCTTGGTCAACTTGGGTCTTCTAAAGGCTGCACCAATAGAAAATATATGGGTGGTTTTGTAGCTTTCACTAAGCTTAGGAGAAAAAAGTTTTCTACAAAAAAAAACAAACAAATCAAAGAACTTTTTCTACAATAATTTTACAAAATACTTACTAAAATTTTTTATTAAAAAATTAATGGTATGCCATGTATAATTATGGTTTCCAAGCAATATACGTGTATTAAAAATCATTTTCTATTATACATGATGTGATAATCTACAAATAGATTTTCGTTCATCATACTTATCAATTAAATTCTGTGACATAAATTTCCCGAAGATTTTTCGTGCTCTTCACCCCTTATAATTTTAAACTATATTACCAACAAATAACCCCAAAATTCTAAGAATTTTCTTTGAATAAAAGTTCAAGATTGAAATGTTTTTCGTATAAAGACAAGTAATTAATTATAACTTTTCTTCTCCTCTTATGTGTTCTAAAGTTTCCATTATAATTCCCGAAATGTAATTTCAAAACTAGCCACTCAAAAGGTTCATAAAAGAAAATGTAACGGAAATTACCATGTGCGATCCACATGCAATCCAATGAAGATCGCTTGTACTTGTAGACTATGGATGAAAAATAACGGAAGATAGTCATATATAACGACAATTTACAAATAGATTCTCGTAATACAGTAAGTATTAGTTATGATTTACGTGCAACACACGTGCGAACAAATAAAAAACAAAGAAAGAACATGAGGTAAGACCATAAGCTAGAAATAAAACGTAAGGTATACAATAAAAGAAAAAATAAAACCAACCACTTGAAAAATCCACTAAAAAAGTTTACTACACTAAATATTAATTTTAGTCTCCGTGCAACACACGTGCGTAAATGGTTGTATATGTTCACTAACAATGAAAATATGGCAAGATTTTATGGTATAATAATTTCTAAAAATAAAAAGTTAGGTATAGATACAAAAAAACTAAGACAAAGAAAATACGTTTATTAGGATACAAAAAAAAAAGGGATGAAAATCTCCAAAAATAATTGAATTGTTGAAAATCAAAAATAAATATATAATATAAAATACGTATAAACTGACCCGAACACTCAAAAAAAAACATTTACTACAAAACAAGTTTGAAAATGCCACAAACAAAACATTCACCTCAAATTACCAAAATAACCATGAACAATAATAATAAGCCCAAAAACAGAGTATTGCCATTTCAACCTATCACCAAATTACTAGACACTAAACCCATTTCGAGCTCAGGATGGAACAATAAACCAAACCCTCCTACAATAAAATCAAAGACATAATGAGCATCAACAATAAAAACAAAGCCAACAAGCATATTTAATGGGAATATTACAAGGGCTCAATCTATCTCAAAGCTCAGGGTCGTCTTTCCCTTGTTCTACAGCTATTCAAGCCCAAGCAATCCAAGCAAAGCTCACAAACATTATATAATTTTGACTTAAAAATTTCCAATGTGATACCATCAAATTAGATCTTTTAAATAGGCAAAAAGAACACAGAACCCAGCAATAAATCTTGTCATACAAGCAAAGATATGAATAAATAACTGCATATAGGTGTTACTATATACGAAAAGAGAGAGAGAGAGAGAATTTATTAACCTGTGTTTGAGTGTGTACCAGAACCAGAGCCTTGAAAGCCTTGTGAAGATGAAAGCCTGAGAAAATGGGTATGCTGGGATCAGCAAGTTAGAGATTTAAAACAGATCAATTTTTTATTATTTTTTTGGTTAAGAACACAAAAAAGATTAACTTTTTATGAATATATACATATATCTGCATGTATGTAGACCTAGACATACATACATATATATATATATATATATATATATATATATATGCGCTTAAAGAGAGAAGTTACCTGGTCTAGAAGAGCGGAGGCTTGATGGGTTTGCTGCCAAGATGGAATTCGTAGAGAGGAGCTCAAATTGAGCAAATAAGGAGAGACTCACTCAGCCCCCGCAAGCCGCTATGAAGAGAGAGAAAGAGGGTTGGGTTATAGAAAGAGTAGAATACATACATCTACTATATATTATATACGTGGAGAGAGAGAGAGAGAGAGAGAGAGTGAGAGTAGATGTGGGGTCTGGCGGTCTTCAAAGAGGACTTTGATTATCTGTACTCGTGGTGAAGAGGGTAAAAGTATACTCTCCAATGGCAGATGACACGTTGCATTCTAAAAAGAAAATATCATTTACCACCCCTGAGATTTAAATTATTTCAGTG